TGGAACAACCTCGGTATGAGTTGGATGTTGTGAAGGTGCAATATTATAAACAAGAACTTTGGAGTTGAAAGCAAGTAAGTTGGGCCGCGACCTCGACGGAAGTTAGGAGCCCTTTATATTTCCCCTTGATTGTGGTGGGGGTGAGGAGACCTCTATATCCACTACATCATGCAACCTAGAACACCAAAAGATGAAGAACTTGAAGGCATAAAGGGATAAATAAGAACACAAAGTAAATTGACAACATAAAGGGTAAGAACAAGTAAGGTGATGCCCACCAAGCCGACACATGCCCATCCCTCATGGAACACGACAACCCTCTCCATGGACTAAAGAAGGCTAGAATAACCTTGCTTTTAGGGGCATTCTAGTCTTCCCTATATTAGATATTTCTGATTTTACTTTTTCCTCCTCACTAACAGTATTGGTTGCCATTAGTACAATGTTATGAGACTATAAAAGGCCCACATGGTTCACTTGTAAGTCATTTCGCATTTGGAAGAAGAGAGACCTCACTGAAGGTGAAACATATGCTTCTTTGAGATGATCCACTTAGGAATTGGGGCAGAGAAATTTTCTCCGAGCATTGGGTTCGGAGCCAAAAAAACATCCTCGGGAGAGCTTACCTTGCATCGGCGAGTTGGTAATTAACATCAGGACTTGCATCGACCCCTCTACTTTTACCAACATTCTCACCAAATGATTAATTAATTAATTTTAAGTGTTTTTCCATGCTCATATATATTTACCTACTTTTGTTTTCTTTAGTCTGGATTAGTTCTTTCATATTTTTTAATTTGTGGCACCATGAAACAATGGCAACTTTAAAAAAAATCCGACAACATGCCCATTTGGTGCAAAATCACTACCTGATTTTCCTTCAATGAATGATACTTCAGTCTACCACTGAGGCATACACATGCTGGAATTTTGTCTATTTTGGGCCAGCCCAACAGCAGTTTTAGAAATTCCTAACAAATCCTAGAGGTCCACACAACCCATTCAGGCAAGGCAAGAGGTGGAACTAAAGTTTAGTCCCACATTGCTAGTTTGGTGGGAGTTGAACCTCCTTATAAGGGAGGTTGTTTGCCCACATGTATGAGCATGAGAACAAGAGAGACATTCACGCGCGCTCCTCCTCCTCCGCCGCCCGCCATGCCACGCCTCGGGTTGTGAAATGAGCCGATGTCCAAATTTTTGCCACGCACGACGGGTATACGAAAGGTCACTCAGGAGCTGAAAAGTGTGTGCTGCAGTGGATATTGAATACGAACGCTGCACCCTTCGACTGCTGCATGTTCGTTTCATCTCCCTCCTTAGCTTCAACTCTCGTCGCAGCCTATTCGCCTCCTTCTCATGTGCCTATAAAAGGTAGGTCACTCCTCTCCAAAAAGACACACCAGAAGATCATCTCCCTCTCGCCACTGAGTTCCAATCTCTGAGCTGCTACTACGATCTTTCCCATCCCAGCTTGTGGTATGCACCACAGGTCGGGACAGTAGGCCTCCGAAACCCCACCTCTTTGAGTCTTGTATGGGAGAAGGGTGATAAGGTTGTTGGGGAGCGCTCTACGCGACTACTGACTGGTTCATCACGGACGCTCCGGACACCTGCGAGCACTTCCCCAACGACGACTTCTTCCCCGATGTCAACAACTTCTTCGACGACATGGCTGGCGAGGATGTCGACCCCAAGACCAGTGCTTTTGCCGTTGTACTGTTTTTTTAGAATGAAGGCTCGCGAAAGAGCCCGACTTTGAATTAACAAAGCCATCAACCGGCCAGGAATTACAACACAACATCAAGCACATCGGCCGAACGATACACGGGAGCACCCTAGGGAGCTTACAACTCAACGCAGTAGACTAGCTCAAAACATAAAAGCCCAAGCTAGAACACGCCGCTGACCGCATCAAACAAGAAACCAAGGATTGCGAGCAGCATGAGCACGACGAGGACCTGCAGAAACAGAGTGGAGTTGTGGACATGACTGAGTCCAAGGTTGGAGGAATCCAAGCATCTTCCTTCACTCTCGCCGTAGAGGGACCCTACCCTCTCGCCTTGGATCGAAAGGCGCTGTCGACGGACATGAGAGACGCTCACCCTAGAGCAGGAGATATGCCGACCTCGAGTCCTGGAACAGGCATAGAGCACAACCTCCTAGGACATGAGCACACCTCGTCTGACACACCGACGCAACCTAGGACACCTGAAAAACAGTGGGAAAGCCACCGGGAGCAGCCACTGAAGAACGAGCGGCAAGGTCATCAGGAGAGGCCGGAGAACGGCGAGGAGCAAGAGTCGTCGGCCGCTGAGGAGAAAACACCGGGCGTCCACGACCAGGGACGTGTTGCTACTGCCGGGAAGAGGAACCCTATCCCCTGCCCCCGGATCGCAGACGCCGTACCGCCGGAGCTGAGCCAAACACGCCACCGCCGAGGAGCACCACCCTTGAGGGGAGCGGGGACAAACTTCCCTACAAACCCGACCAAACCCCAGCCATCTGATGAACAGAGCCGCCCAAAACTCCACCTTTGCCGCCCTCACCCGAAAGCACGCTCCCCAGGCGGCACCTCCAAGGAGGACACGACGCGCCGCGCGCCGTCACCGCCCAATCCAAGAAGGATTTTGGGCTTTCACCCGGGAGGGGAACGGGTGTGGATAGGGGTGGGACCTCGGCTGCACCTCCAAGGAGGAAGGGCGGCGCCCAAGGGCGTCGCTGCCGTCGGGCCGGACCAGCCGACCGATGGTTTCCCACGGTCCCAAAACCGCACCACCGGGCACCCATCCACACCATTCCGGCGACCGAAGCTGCAAGAAACGGCGGGGATGAGGGAGCTGAAGGGGAGGGGAGTCGAACCTCAGATCTGACGAGGAGGGGGATCTCCATGCCGCAGCCACCACCCGCCGCCGTCACACCACCCACGTGGTCGAGAGCGCCGGCCAGGATCTCCCACGGACGCGCCAGCCGGGAGGGCACTGCCGCCACGCCAAGAAGGGCCGCCGCCCCAGAGCCGGACTCCTCCACCAGGGACGGAGCGAGCAGGGCCTCGCCACCACCGTCACCGGCGACCGCGCAGGCTTGTCGGCGGCTACCTCGGGTGGCGACGAGGGGGGAAGGAGGTGAGGGGTGGCGGCGCTAGGCGGAAACCCTAGTCGCCTCCCGAGTCGCCCGAGCGGGCGACGCGGGGGCTGCGGGGAAGAGGGGGGACCCTACCGTTGTACCGTACGTGTTCATGCTCTTTCTTTTTGAGATTCTGTCACAGTTTCTTGCTCGTGTCTGCTCTAGATATGTTTTGTTCTAGTTCATATATGCATATGCTATTTACCTTCTCTATGTATCATTCCATGACTTGTTTTATCCCTGCTATAATAGTCATGTTTTATCCAGTATTTCTATTAATAAAACCATTCGGTAAATTGTTCATATTTCCAACAACACATAATTGTAAATCGGTGACAATCCAATTCTCATTATCCGCGCATGGACTTGATGGTATCACACATTTGTTCCCGATAAAGGGAATTTTGATCCAAACCTTGCATCAAGATGATATAACCGCAAAGAGGCCACACCAGGCCTCCACATAACAAGAAGACATGCTAAGGCGCAGGAGGGCTGGTCAGTAGATGGTGCATGTTGCTCATCTCAATGTTCAGCATTTACCACATACTTTGTTTGTTGAATTATCATCATAGATCAGATGGTGGTTTTAAAAGAACCAAGAAGTAGTAAGGAAACAATAAGTGCTCAGATGAAATGCTTTCCAAAAGTAATGTTGGCCTACCAGCAAACCTCTGAAGAATGTATGTCGAACACTATGGTTAAATCTACTTTTCCTAGTGTTAAACTGTGAGCGCGGGCACACAATAACTCTTGATGGCTTTGCAGCAACTAGCTATTCTTCTTGAAGCTTTAATGCTTGTTAAAAATAGGTGAAGAAAGAGGGTGGATGTGTCACCAGGTGTCAACTGTTGCCCCTTGCCGTTTCAGCATTTGACAAGGTCTGTTCGAAAACATGAGGCTCTTATATTGCCCGGATTTCTCTCATTCTCTTTCCCTCCACCGTCTCTCTCCTCCTCCTTCCGTCGCCGCACCATTTTTGGCCATTCCGAGCTTAATAAGGTATGAAGCTTCTCTCTTCCTCTCAGTTTCGAGACATCCAAAGTTTTCGTATGTCCATGCCGAGCGATGGTGGTCAATCCACCATGAATTGATCCCATTCGGTTTGAGGTATGCTGCTGTCCTGTCCTGGAGTTTTCTCCACGTAATTTGCCTGCCATGTTGGCGATATTAGCTTTGATGCGTTGCCATGATTCATAAATTGTATCCCCAAGAAGTTTCTCTAAGAAATAACGACTCCCTTTGTTGTTAGCCGGTAGATGTAATTCAAATCAGCTGCGTGATTCATCTTGTTTTTCTTGTGCGCTTTCCTTGTTTTGTGTTTCTGAAACATTGCATAGATGACAGAATTTATACAGTTGTGTCCAACATGTCTGTCAGGCTTTTCTTCTTCCAATATTGATAATGATCATCCCGCCAAAAAAGTAAAATTGATAATGATCATGATACCTTTGCATAAAGAGGAACAATTAAACTAGTGCTGTGGATGGTTAATTAATCCCTATACCATCTGAATATTTCTTACTGCAAAAACAAATGAACATCATGCACCTCATGATAGCACTTAAAAAGGATAGATAGCCAGTCAATGGTTCCAATAGGTAGGTGGTGCTAGGGGTGTTTGTCAGGTAAGATTTCAGAAAAGTGGAAGATAACACCCAAAAGAAACCGTAAACATCCATTCTAAACCCTTCCATCTCTAGGATCAGTGGTTACCATGTCTACAATCAAAATCTGCCTTGCTCAAGGTCAACCTCACAGAACAAATCAAAGCTCAGCAAACAGAATTCCCTGCCATTAATTCTGCATTGCACCAATTCTTACACGCGAAGTGACTTGACGAAATCTCTGGCTTTGTTTGGCAGCAGGAGCAGCTCATGGCCACACGGCCAACGCCGGGGTCGCGAGACGGCAGCAGCGCACGCCCAAGAAGCACGAGCGGCAGACCCACCACGTCGTCGAGCGCGCGCCCGGCCAGCTCCGACCCCACCTCCTGCCGACGCGCACGCGCCTCCCTCAGCCCCTCCCCGGCGTCGGAGTCGGACAAGCCGGTGCCGTCCTTCCTCCGCCCCACCGTCAGCTCGACCCTGCGCAGCGCCTCCCCGTCGTCCTCCACCTCCAGACCGCCCTCCTCCAAGGGCCGCGCCACCACGCCCAAGGGGCTGTCCCCGGCGCACCCAGCGGCGCGCGCTCCAAGTCCGATCGCGCCGAAGCGGTCCCCCGCGCAGCAGCCCTCGAGCTCGTCGCGGCCGATCACGCCCAAGCGGCCCCCCGCGCAGCCGGTGAACGCGCCGCGGCCGATCACCCCGGCCATGGACAAGTCCAAGGGCAAGGCGCCCACGTCGCGGTGGTCCGTGGCGTCGCCGAGGCAGCTGATGCAGAAGGCGTCCCACGCCTTCAAGGTCGGCAGGTCCCGCAGCAAGAAGAGCAAGGACCTGGCCGGCCCCGCGGCCGAGGCGGTGGCGTCCGTGAAGGAGACGCCCGGTGCTTCCGGCGAGATCAACGCCGAGGCGGCGAGACCCCCTCCCGTGCCTGAGCAGCAGCGCCGCCCCGCTGAAATGACTGCCGCGACACCTCTCGACGTCGTGCAATCAGAGGTGGTCGTGGAGCCCAACGCTGCCATGAAGTTACAGGAGGAAGCGACCTCGCGACCGGGCGAAATTGTCAGTAATGAAATCAAGACAGAGGAGGAGACGCGTCAAGAGGAGCAGGTAATCCCAGAAGAGCCGAGAGCAGAAGCAGAGAAGGCGAATGCCATTGACGAGGAGAAGGCCGTGATACCGAAGGAGTCCGTGGAAGCCGTGAAGGTGGATGAGCCGGCGCCGGAAGAGAATCCGCAAGCCGGCAACGTTGAAGGGGCACAAAAGGAAGCTGAGAAGATTACACAGGATGAACCTCCGCCGCCGGCCGCCGTTGTGGAAGAACCAACGAAGGAGGCAGCAACGCCGCTGAACGTGCTGCAAGATGAACCAGCGGCCAGCCCGGTTCAAGAGGAAGCCGTCGTGGAGAGCAAAGCCGAGGAGAGGCCACAAGCAGAGCCGGCGAAGCACGAAGATGCCATGAAGCAACCTGAAACAAGTCTGATCTCTGAAGAACCGAAAGAGCAATCCGCCGCCACGCAGAAGCAGGCGGAGGCCGCCGAGGAACCCAAGATGATCGCTGCATCCAAGGCATCATCGGTGCCGGCGACGTCGCTGGAAGAAGCTCTGGAGGAAGTGGACACGGTGACCAAGGTGGGCACTTCGCGATCAGAGCCCGTGACACCGGCGAAGCAAGCCATCAACAAGGACAAGGCGGTGATCGACACGATCCTGAGCGCTTCGGAGCCAACGACGCCGTTGAGAGGAGCCGCTAAGAAGGAAGGGGCGACGTCCTTCATGGGGAAGATTCCGGAGGAGGGTCGGATGAGTTTCAAGGGGAGCAGGGTAAAGACGGCGATGGAGAAGCGGCCGGAGGAGGCGCATCCCAAGAAGAAGGAGGTGTCGCGGAGCAACGACGTGCTGGAGGAGACCAAGAGCAAGCTGCTGGAGAAGAAGAAGAGCAAGGTGAAGGCGCTGGTGGGGGCGTTCGAGGTCGTCATGGACAGCCCCCGCGCGTCCACGCCGGGCCCGGGCAGATCGGGCCCGAGGTTCTGATTCTGGTTCGGAGGGAAAAGCTCCAGTGGCGACCGTGTGGATTGAAATTTGAATTGTGTGGTGTTCATGGTGCTTTGGGGTATGATACGATGCTATGCCGTGTTCTTTTTGTTGGTTATATATATGTTGATCACTGATTTTTGTTGCTCACTGAATTAAAACAGAGTTTTTAGATGCCTTTCTGTGCCTCTGCGCCGTGGGATGCACGGTCAATTTATTTTTATTTTTGACAAAAAGCCTTGCACTTTATTGCACAGGGAAAACAATTACATCGTTCAAAATGTATTTAAAAAACAAACGGATCTGCTAATTTACATCCGGATGAAAATAATTCGCTTTCATCCGTTTTCTGTGCCGTGCGATCTGTGTGCTGAGATTCGTGTATGACCCGTTATTTTGTCTCGTTTCTCTTATCGGGCCCGTGTGGTTGACCCGTTATTTTTTCCATCGCAACCCATGTCACCCTCCTCCTCCCAGCCCCTTTGTGACTTCAAACACGCAACCCCGAATAGAGTCGAGCGAGAGAGAGATACCCATGGCGATTTGGAGCTCCGCCTCGCCGCTCGATCTAGTGTTTTGGTGGTGGCTCGTCCGCGCTCTCCGTCGTGTTGTCCCGCTTCCTCCGCCTCCCTTCTGTTCCCGCCGTCGGGATCTGCGGCATCTCTCGGCGCCGCACCGACC